TGACCTGTACCCTGGGATGTTCAGGGTCACATTCCCCCGTCTCTGATGGAAGTGGCACCCCATGGAGCCGGAGCCACGCCACGGCTGTGTTCCCCGTGCTGACCCCAGGCTGCTGCCTGACTTATTATTTCCTTTCCAAGGACAGGCTTTCCTGGGAAGAGGATCCCATGATGGAGGCTGATGCAGGCATTCTGTTAAGGCTGGGCTGCACAAGGCTAAAAGGAGAGCGCCCGGCCAGCGCCCTGGCTTTGGGGCAAAATTACCCGATCCTTGCGGTGACCCAGAAGCGGCAAACCCAGCGCGTGCGGTGACGGGTGCCAACTGCCCTACGTAGGTGCTGCACGGAGGCTCCGGGACATCATTCTGTGCTGGTTACAGCAGTGCTGGACCGCGGGGTGGGGGTTTGACAGCCACGCCGGGCTGCTGGAGATCCCCGGGAAGAGCCAGGCTTGGTCGGGCTAAGGAAATGTCAGGAGGGGTTCGAGCACTTCAAATACGCGTGCCCAGCGAGGGACTTCTACCTGTGACATTTTTAACTCTTTTCCGAGCCATTTGACCAGTGCTGTGGCCTCCAGGGAGGACCTAGAGCTTGAGCAGGCTGCTGTAAACAAGCTAAACTACAACCAGGAAATCTGATATGAAACCGGTCCCTGTTAGTGTGAAGGGAGATAAATCGCTCCAGGGATATAAACTCCACCTTCAGCCAAGAATTCCTTGTCAGAGGGGAACAATTCTCTGGCTCATACGCTCGCTAAATGTTTTCTTCTGCAGGCTGCAGAAAAAACATCCATACTATTTTAAGAATCTGTGGCTCATATTCATCACGCTGTCCTGAACGCTGGAACGCAAGCAGCTCTCTTCACAATTAGGCAGGTATTTTCCCCATACCGGCCCAAATCCAGCCAGGCCAGATCCTGCATCTCTCTCCTGTGGGTGTAAGGGGCCAACGTGGAGAAGCGCAGTCACAGAAGTGCCAGATGCAGCGGTTTTAAGAAGAAATTTTCGACGGGGCACAGAGGTACGTGCAGTCAGGAGGCAGAAAGCAGTAGCTTTATTTTAGGAAGAGCACATAGGCATTGGGTAGAGGCTGAGTTGTGAATATACAGTCCCATTATCAAATAATATAACCATACATCAGAAGTTCTGGTTCTTTGAAAATATTCACATAAAAATACCAAAGGGGCTGGAATTCTAACTGTTTTGGAAAGTCACGACATGTAGCAAAGTCTATGTACAGCATTTTCACATGGAGAATGAGAGTTTCAAAAGAACCTCCAGTGGTTTAAATATTGAATATGTCTTAAAAAAACAAACAAAAGAAACAACAAAAACCCCCAAAACAACAAACAACTGAACACAGTGTGCAACATCCAAACTGGGAAGAGGAGCTGGGTGAGCGCTGCCCTGTCACCAGTCAGGACAGAGGAGAGGCAGATGGGGCTAAACCTCTGGGAACACAACGCAAGAAACTACCTGGCACTTAAAGCTGTATGAACTGGGAACGCTTGCGAAAATAGACTTCACTTCCTACAGCAGGGCTTAAAAAAATGCTGAAAACTGAAGATTTGGTGGTCATAAGGTCTCCCATAAATAATGCACCAGTTGGTGATCCTGTGCTTGAGCAGGGGCTGCAGGAAGAGCTCCAGCTCTGGCAATGGACGGGAGGATGGTGACCTACACTACGGCTTGCTGGAGCGCTTCCACGGGGCAGGACGTTGGAGGGTGTCGGGTTTGAAAGGCAATGGATGCGTTTCGCACGGAGCAATGCCTCACGATGTGAACGCACTGTAGGTTTGAGCTCTCGGGGCAACCGTGTTGCTCGGAGGCACATGTGCTGCCCGGGATGCTGCTAGCCCTTTCCTCCCAGGGGACATCTCGGAGGGAATTAAGTCATCTGAGTAACAGTTGATGTGGCTGGAAGATGTACGTGCATGCTTCTGGAGTTCCCTGGGTATATTCAGCGAGAACATCCCATGGTAAAGGGACTCTCTTCCTGCCCTCGGGGGTGCAGGAAGGAGGGCAGGGGGTGTATTTCTCACTGGTCTCTGCCGTGCCTGGGGGATGGTGTTTGGGGCTGCAGCGGACTCCCACTCATTTAGAGGCTCCTGAGGGTTCTGTGCTTTCCAAGGAGGCACCAAAATGCTCAGGGATTTATGTCTCCTGGTGAGTTTAAACGGGTCTGCCGCTGATGTTAAACCCTTGGGAAGATTTCAAGACCTGTCAGCCTCTGCCACACCTTTAAGCAAAGCTGACGGCCAGGGCTTGCCCTCCTCGCCAGCACAGCTGGGTGGAACCAGACTGGACCTGTGTTTGGGACCACACGGGTGTGCCAGAAGGGTTCTGCAAGGTCATGCTGCTTTCCACTGTCACTGGCCGGCAAAAGCAGGGGATTAAAGCCTCCAGGCCACCTCCAATGGTCTCCCCTCTGCTGCTGCCAGGTGGAGCTCCAGCCCCACGGTGCAGCTCGAGGGCTTGGAGAGGGATTTGAGAGGGGCTCCTCAGGGTCCCAGGGGAGCAGGCACACGTGGCAGCCCTTGTCCCCCCGCTCCCTTCCTCACCTGACCTGCTCTGGCTCCCAAGGGGCTCTGGCTGGACTCCAGCGACTGCTGGTGCCCATTATACGTGTTCTGGAAACACAGAGAGTGGGATTTTACCCAAATGTGTCTGAAATCCTTTACTCAGCTGGAAACGGAGGATGCTGAGAAAGCTGTTGTGAAGACCAGCGCGGTATTTACCTTCTTGTTCCCGTGCCTCACCCTCGCATCCATCCACCATCACCTGCGGTGCCTTTTCAGCGTCCAAACTGCCCCGACCTCTCGGTGCGTGGTTCTGCTTGGTGGTAGCAGGTGACAGCAGCGTATTTACAACCAAACTCAACAGGAGCAAATTGCACTTTGTTGGCAATGAACTGTTGCACCTTGCATTGCTGCGAGCCCGTCACCAGGCAAGCGGGGAGGTCATCCTGGGGCTGCGCTGGCTCTCGCCGACCTGCACATCACCGAGCGCCCGCTGCAGGGAGGGAGCAACGAGCAGGAGCTGAGCATCAGGCAAGGGCTGGTGTGGACAGAGAGGGTGTTTCAGTGGTCCTGGCCACTGTGCACTTAATTCTCCCCTTGGCTTCCCACTGGAAAAGTCAGTCCAGGCGTCTGCTTTGTGGTGCTCCGACGCAGCCGTCGTTAACCCACGTCGGACCGTGACAACCCTCCGTGGTGGTGCATGGACCATCAACCCTCACCTCAGCCTGCTGCACCAGCCGCCCAGCTTGTACATTAGACAAATTGCATTTTAGAGATGCTCGGGTACACGTGCTCACAAAAAACTCATCTCGTTCCCACAGCTCGCATGCAATTAAGGCACTTCATTGACGCTCAGCTGGAATCCCCTCGCTGGGTAGAGTGGAAAAGTGCAACTCACCTCAAACTTGCTCATGAATTCTGCAAAAATGCCGAAGAAAGCTTCCGAAGTTGTCATTTTCGAGTCTTCCCCGAAGAAGGACAACACCTTGCTGAATTCATCCATGGCCTTGTGCTGCAGGTCATCCAGGGATCGCATGGCAGGCTGCGCGCTCTCCAGGAAGGACTGAGAGGAAGGGCTTAAGGAAAAACAGCCG